CATTATTATTATTATTATTATTATTATTATTATTATTATTATTATTATTATTATTATTATTATTATTATTATTATTATTATTATTATTATTATTATTATTATTATTATTATTATTGGTATCAAGCGTTGTTCTCAAATGAAGTATTTGTATAATTATTGTAGGCATTGTAATAAATATAATGCTGGGTCTCCCTGTCTAATTTGGTCAATTATCTCATCCAATATTATTTCGTATTACTTTTAAAGTTTTCCAGGCTAGTCACAAGTACGCAGAGCGAACCGATTTTTGAATTTTGATATGCCATCAGTTCAACTTGATTACCAATACAATGTCTGTCTCCTCCGCAGAAACTTGCAAGTGCTAATGCCTAAGATAAAATATGAATGCGTTACTAGAAATACATGTATGTTTCTACACCTCGCTTTTATTTTCCTAAACATTTTTTAGCATGAAATATTCTAAATTACGCCACCGATGAACGCAGGCTCGGCGGGCTCGCATTTGTGTCATGTTGGCCATGGCGACACGAATGCATGCATGATCATTGTTTCTCATTTTTTGTGCAAAGCGCCAAAATTATTAATGAAGTTGAACTCTTTTAAATGTCGAATTATCAATTTCCAAAATGTATAAAGTAGGTGTGTCATTTTTCACTCTATAAGCTTGAATTTAAGCTAATATTCAACCTCGAGCACTTCACAAAATGTTCGTTTAACTTTATATAATTATGTATGCTGTTTCAATAGACCAAACATTTCGTCACAGCTTGAAAGAGCATCACAAAATTAGTAATATTCCGAAGTTTCGTTGCCAAATGTTGTAAACTTCGGATAATATAGCCTTGCGAAATTTTCTGTTTTTCAGTCATTTTGTATTACAAATAGGAAATTGATAATCAGTTTGATCATATGCAAGGTCTATTGTTTGGCGGTTTTTGCTGATTAACTATTTAACTTGGTCAGTTTTATTAGTTGCAACGAAATCAATTCAATCATACAGTTAGCTCTTAAAAATAATTTAGCTTTTTTTATAATTCTATAACTGTTTAAATATAAAATAAGCAATTTAGGAGGGAAGTAGAAAACCTGAAAACAACGTACAATGTTTACGAATAAGAAACGAAACAAACTTGCTTTATATTTTATCACTTTTCATCTTATGTCTCTTCTTGTCATTTCTTTAAAGTAAAATTTTAAAAAATCGCCTTAAAGTTCATTGTGTGAAACAACTTTTCCTTATGTTTTCATTCTCTTCAACTGAAATCTTAGCAGTTTATAGCTGATTCCACTCCTGGCAGTCTGCCATATTTTAAGAAAAGTGAGATGACCACCCACTACCTCACTTTTGAAACCACCAGCACCCTTCTTTGCCCAGGTCTAATATAGCCGTGTGGAATTAGTTGCCACAGACAGTAATGCGCCAAACCATAAAATATATAACTAAAAAATACATGCATGTGGAAACCCCTTGCCTTCCTGACAAAACCATTGTATTTTTCGAACATGAAGTATTTAACGTAGTTGTCACGGTAACACGATAATTTTGTTAAGAATATTTTTACAAATGAAAAATCCCCTAAAAGTATCACTTTTAATTACAACATTTTCAATTCCCAAAACATATATATATATGTTAAGTATGTTATTATACGTGATATAAGTTTCAATTTAAGGTAAAATTCAACTTCAAACGCTTCGCAAGACGTTTTAAAATGTTCTTTAGAAAACTAAACTGCTTAGTTAGTTAGTTAGTTAGTTAGTTAGTTAGTTAGTTAGTTAGTTAGTTAGTTAGTTAGTTAGTTAGTTAGTTAGTTAGTTAGTTAGTTAGTTAGTTAGTTAGTTAGTTAGTTAAAGCATTTATTTAACCACGATAATTAGATACAGACAGAGCTGATAGGGTCGTGGGTTACATAATTATCTATCTATAGTTAGATTATACTAATAAAGCTTAAGTTCTATTTAAACATTGAATCGCGTAATTCTAAACTAGTTATACAATATGAAAATTGTTTGCAACTTTCTATTTCTCTTGTCTCATTGTTCAAATTGTTCCATAAAATTGGTCCTTTGTAACTAATAGACTTTTTCATAATTTCTGTCCTTGCTTTCGGTAAAGACAAACAATTTCTTTCTCTTAAATTATACCCACAAAAACGTTTTACAAAGAGATCAGCTATAGCCGTAGGAACGACTTGATAATAACTCTTTTGAGTCAACTTTGCCAACGATTCTAAATATGTTCTTCTAAGTGTTTTCCAATTGCAAATTGTTATAACATCATTTGTGGGTGTGTTCCAGTTCAGGCAGAAAATGATTTTTGCTGCTCGCACATGCATCTTTTCAAGGTCATTGAATAGACTCTTGTTACATGATCCCCATAGAATAATGCCATAAGTTATCGACGGGAGTATAACTTTATTGTAAAAGTCTATCCTAGCTTTCTTTGGCAGAAAATACAGGGATTTCAGAAGATTGATTTTCTGAGAGAAGGATTTTATTGTATTCAAGACATGTTTGGACCACTTCATTTCGTCGTCCAACTCCATCCCTAAGCATCTTGTCGACTGTACTTGTTTGATTACATAAGTCCCTAGTTTTGTTGCCCTAACAGGGCCTATAAATGATTTTCCCTTCATTAACATGAATTCCGTTTTTCCTGGATGGGGTGAAAGTGAATTATTAATACACCAATCCCAAAATTTGCATAAAATCTCGTTTAATCTCGATGTTACAATGTCTACTGTTGGTCCTACGACATAAATGGTTGTATCGTCCGCAAATACTTCTATTTCTGCGTCTTCTTCTCCTTCTATTATATTTGGCATGTCATTAATGAATAACGCGAAAAGGTTGGGTCCGAGCACAGAACCCTGTGGTACTCCAAATTCTACGTCCATTAACTCAGACTCGTAGCCATTGACAGTTGTTACTTGTCTTCTATTTGAAAGATAATCCTTGATCCAAAGC